TTAGTGTGAAGGAGATGCAGAAGGTGAAGTTATTGTTGGTGGAAATGGTAAAGGAAATCAATTGAATTCTCTCATAGGTTTATCATTTGATAATGAAAATATTTATGTTGTTGATAATGGAAATCATCGAATCCAAAAAATACGAACAAATTTTAATTTCAAAATGGTTTTGATTTATTTGGATAAGATTTCTATTTTTATTTTTGAAAATAAATTAAAAATATTAGTTTACCAAAAGTCTTGAAGAGAAGTAAATAAAAATAAATTAATAAAATTTCTTTTAATAAAACTAGCATTTGTTAGTTTTAATTTTGAATTAAAAAAAATCAAAATGAATAAAATAATTCGGATAGAATTTTTATTGAATGAATTAAGTTAAAAGAGTTTGAAAGAGAAATAAATTAGAAAAAATCTTATGTTTATAGAGAACTGAAATAAAATATTTTTCAAATTTCGAAAAACAGTTAAGTTAATAAGAAAAACTTGTAAATAGAAACAAACCGTTTTTTATTAGATTCATTTTTGTGATTTTATGATTTATTAAGAGAAAGAGAAGAGAGGAGAAAAAAGATAAATGAATAAGAGTGAAGGGTGGGTGTGGGTGTAAGAGTAAGTGTCGGTATTAAGTAGATACAAAGCTGAAAGTCACACCCATCCTATAAATACAACACTTATCATGTTTTTTTAGTTTATTGAATAAATGAAAACGACAATACATCTACTCATACAACGAAGGAAAATAAAGACATAAATCTTCTGAATGTACCACTGGATACATCGAAGTTAAATTTTTCACCTTCGCACAATTGCGTCGTGTTTCTTGCCTTGTAAAGTCTTTTGTTACAGCTTTTAAATCTTCAACAAGTAAGAATTCGAATTCTGTCAGACAAGGTACGATTGTCTTTGTTTCATTTAGAAATTGTTCGACATAATCTATGTGTGAAGCTTTGACATCAAGTATAGTGAGATGGGGGTATTCAGTTATTGAGTGTAATTGACAATTGTCAGATGAAAATGTCACAAGACTATTCAG